AAAATACTGCAGCGCTGAATACTGAAAAATGGCCTGGACAGGAAGGGGGTTTAACACCCTGGAATTCAAGTGGTTAAAGTGCTTAAAGTAAGTTAAAGTCCAGTCAAAACGTTATTTTTAGTTATGGATGGAGTGGGGGGTGTTAAAACGCTGTCATGTTTTTACAGCTATTCAGGGCTCAATTAGAGAGATTTACACTAACCTTTCTGCCCTGCTGACAATGTTTTACAAGAAGGGAATTGAGGGTAACTCTCCAAGAGCAACACGTATATCAAATCAATGAAAATGCCTTTCTTTAGCAGATTAGCTGAAGGCTAGAACTCCTGGTAGATTTTTTATTTCTGTCTGTGTCCATGTTGCCAATTTTCTCTCACTTCCTGTCTAGCAAAAACTTGACAGCAGGACAGGAAATGATAGCAAATCTCTCAAATGAATTTTCGGATAGCAGTAAAACCAGAAAGGAATTCTAATACTTCCCTTTCTATTAAAAATGAAAACACACACTTTAAACCAAAAGTAATGCTGACTAAATAATATCCAATCTTTCCATCTTCCTCTACAAAAGGTAGTGTAAAATTATAAAAAGAAAACATTTTATTTACCCTCAGTGCATTTCTCATCGACTTTGTTTTATTTGATGCTTTTGTAACTTCTTGTTTGCTCCCAGTTCTTTGCAGTATTTTTACAAGCACTAATGGAGCTCTATTAAGTATTTGTTTTTTCTTAAGTCAGCTTCTAAAAGGTTTGTGGATTCCCATGTGTAATATTTCACACATTTTATGTATGGCATTACATAACTATCAGATAAAACAACAGTAGGATATCCCATTAATCCTGGCAAGTGGGATTGCCAGGGCCAACTAAAAGCATTGCTTTGCATGCTTTATTGGTCACCATTCATAAAAAGGGATACATTGAAGTTCCTACTGTGAACAATTTTGTTAAAAGTATGTGTCACAAAATGTCAGGAACTGAAACAATCTGTCTTTTTTGAGATAGCAGAATGTACATTTTAAAAAGGCACATATTAATACACCTTGAATTACATATAAAGAAGGCTGATGTGATTCAAATTATAACTTGCCGAGAATGGTTTCTGTGAACATTTTGTTTCCCTGGATATCAAAGCTTGTGGCATATTACTAAACAAAAACATCCAGCTGATTCTGCCATTCCCTGCAGATATAACCAATGCTTCATTATTTGCCAGTTTGGGAGGAAAAGAAAAGCACTTTTGAACCTTTCATAGAATCATTGTTCATATAATTTTATACATTACTTAAAATTCTTTAGATATTAAAATACAGCAGAACCATAACATATTTCACATGTTGGTCATTCTTTGAGACACTAGTAAAATACAGGTGAAACTCGAATAAATAGAATATCGTGCAAAAGTTCATTTATTTCACTAATGCAGCTTAAAAGGTGAAACTAATATATGAGATAGACTCATTACATGCAAAGCAAGATAGTTCAAGCCGTGATTTGTCATAATTGTGATGATTATGGCTTACAGCTCATGAAAACCACAAATCCACAATCTCAGAAAACTAGAATATTACATACAATCAATAAAACAAGGATTGTACATAGAACAATATCGGACCTCTGAAAAGTATAAGCATGCATATGTACTCAGTACTTGGTTTGGGCCCCTTTTGCAGCAATTACTGCCTCAATGCGGCGTGGCATGGAAGCTATCAGCCTGTGGCACTGCTGAGGTGTTATGGAAGACCAGGATGCTTCAATAGCGGCCTTCAGCTCTTCTGCATTGTTCGGTCTCATGTCTCTCATCTTTCTCTTGGCAATGCCCCATAGATTCTCTATGGGGTTCAGGTCAGGCGAGTTTGCTGGCCAATCAAGCACAGTAATCCCACGGTCATTGAACCAGGTTTTGGTGCTTTTGGCAGTGTGGGCAGGTGCCAAGTCCTGCTGGAAAATGAAGTCAGCATCCCCATAGAGCTCGTCTGCGGAGGGAAGCATGAAGCGCTCCAAAATCTCCTGATAGAAGGCTGCATTGACCCTGGACCTAATGAAGCACAGTGGACCAACACCAGCAGATGACATGGCTCCCCAAATCAACACAGACTGTGGAAACTTCACACTGAACTTCAAGCATCTTGCAGTGTGTGCCTTGCCATTCTTCCTCCATACTCTGGGTCCTTGGTTTCCAAATGAGATGCAAAATTTGCTCTCATCAGAAAAGAGGACTTTGGACCACTGGGCAACAGACCAGGTCTGTTTTTCTTTATCCCAGGTAAGACGCTTCTGACGTTGTTTGTTGTTCAGGAGTGGCTTGACAAGAGGAATACGACATTTGAAGCCCATGTCCAGGATCCGTCTGTGTGTGGTGGCTCTTGATGCACTGACTCCAGCCTCAGTCCACTCCTTGTGAAAGTCCCCAACACTTTTGAATGGCCTTTTCCTGACAATCCTCTCCAGGCTGCGGTCATCCCTGCTGCTTGTGCACCTTTTTCTTCCACACTTTTCCCTTCCACATAACTTTCTATTAATGTGCTTTGATACAGCACTTTGGGAACATCCAACTTCTTTTGCAATTACCTTTTGAGGCTTTCCCTCCTTATGGAGGGTGTCAATGATGGTTTTCTGCACAACTGTCAGGTCAGCAGTCTTTCCCATGATTGTGATTCCTACTGAACCAGACTGAGAGACCATTTAAAGGCTCAGGAACCCTTTGCAGGTGTTATGGCTTAATTAGCTGATTAGAGTGGGACACTTTGAGCCTAGAATATTGCACCTTTTCACAATATTCTAATTTTCTGAGATTGTGGATTTGGGGTTTTCATGAGCTGTAAGCCATAATCATCACAATTATGACAAATCACGGCTTGAACTATCTTGCTTTGCATGTAATGAGTCTATCTCATATATTAGTTTCACCTTTTAAGTTGCATTAGTGAAATAAATGAACTTTTGCACGATATTCTAATTATTCGAGTTTCACCTGTAAGTAATTACAAGCTTGGTTTGCCAAGCATAAGAAAGACATCTCTGAATATCATAAGCTATTAGATATATAATCTGCTAAGTACCTTTTAACAATAAATCCGGGGCACCATTGCTTCAGATGATTCTCTATTAAAGCAGTGGTGCAACTGAATAACTTTTTCTACAAGAAAAGTATCTGGGCAAGCAGACAACAGTGTCATGAAGATGCGCGCCTTTAATCATAGCTGTAATGCAGTGTAACTGAAGTTCAGAAGCTTTAAATCTGAGGCCATAACACTCCATCTAAAAGAGTGAAATGTGCTCTTCGAACAAATTAGGAGATGCTTGACTTTATGAATAAAAAGGGCCCTCAGAATCACATTCAGGAGTGATGGAAAGTAGTAACAGATTAACAAGTGGCTTTTAAAATACTGAAGTGGGAAAGCAAGGTGTGGCTGTCAACAGGAAAATATAGCAAAAAGGATCACTGGCTTTAAAGCAGAACTCCACGATTTGTTTTGTTAACCCTTGCAGTGGAGTTACTCCACTGCAAGGGTTAATAAAAAAATTCCTGGACTTCTGCTTTAAATTTTTTCTGTGTTGCTGACCAGGTACACAGTTTAACAAAAGTCAGGAAAAAGGCTTAGGTTCTGACTTGCTCAACATCAGGGACTCAAAATATTAAAACAAGGTCACCATGACAGCCAGGTAACTAGCTTTTTCAGTGGTCAGCAACAGCAGCTTCTAGGTTTTTCTCAAGAAAAGTTACCTATAAAAACTTATTTTATTCTACTAGAGAACATCATGCTTTTAGACTGTTCTAGAGACATTCCATTGCATTAAAATGGGTGATTTTAATGCAATGGGATTTCTGCATTTAACAAGTGGATTTCTGCATTCAACACACTCCTCCTGGCCAGTCAGGAGAGTAGTAATGACAAATAAAGGATAAATGAAACGTCTTGCAGAAAGTTGTTCAGTATGGTGTGCTGGAGAGTTTGCAGTCATCTTTTACTTTTACTTTTGTGGCAAGATCTATTCTAAGCAGCATAAATGGACACTCTCCTAGAAATTGTCCCACACAGGTACAGGTGGAATGTTTGGGAGTACCATAGTAATACCAGGTGCTCCCCCGGTCCTCTTGTGTGATCCAAAGTTGCCAGCAAAGCAATAAACAAATACTACAAATCACATTTATCACAAGCATTTTAGTTTGCTTTGCTCCCCTGCCGAGTTCATGCACAGGGGATGGTGAAGTTAAGCTCAAGTTTAGGTTCCCAGCCAATCTTAGGTGTGAGATTCACCTTTGTATGAGAGATCATGAGTAGGACATGAGTGAGAACAATGGACTTAAATGACCTGTACTAACCTAGAAATCTAGAAACATAAAGTTAAAGTGTAAGCCCAGCCAAAATGTTCTTTTTTTCCAGTTTTGGGGATTAGAACCCCTTTCGGGTTTTTACAGCTCTGTTGAGAGATTTTCCATCACTTACTGTTAGAGTAAAAACAGATTCACAAGAAAGAAGTGAGGGAAAATCTGCAACGGAGACACAGGCATTAATAAAATGCTGAAAAGGATTCTAACCTTCCGCCTACAAAAAAGAGATATTTTGTGTGTTTTGCTGTTGGCAGAGCTTTCCTCACTTCCTGTCCGAGAAACTGATGTTACAACAGTCAGTGGGGTTCATTTGCTAAATACGGTGAGAATTCCCAATTCCATTGAAGGAAAAAAAACAAAACAGTATTTTGTCTAGCACGTGATTGGGTGATGGAAGTCAAGTGAGCTTCACCACAATTAAAAAGTTACCTTGCAAAGTGTAAACTTCCTAGCAAAGTGAACAGCCTATTTGCCATCAGTAAATCAACCCAAGTATTGAGTGTGTGTGACAAGTTATTTTATTTTCTAAGAAATTGGATATTTGCAACCACTCATTTTATTTTGTTATATGCACCTGCTTTACAGGATAATGTATGCTGTCTCATAAGTATTCATACGTTATCTATATAGAGCACTCACACAGATAAAATTAAACAAGAGCAAATGTTACCTGAAAAATTCCATGAAGGAAAATCCATAGCCATGTTGTTCTGCTATTCCAGCACATACAACATTTGCTGATGCCCCAATTAATGTTCCATTTCCTATAAAGACAAAACAGACAATGTTATACATGATAAAGGCTTCTGTTACAGTGTGTATGCTGGATATTTTTATTTAGAGGATGTAACATTCCTGCCAGGTTTTTCTTTTGGTCTGTTGAGATGTTCGTTACTTCCCTCACCTTTACAAAAATGTGGAATGTGGTTGTCACAGGGAAAGGAAGAACAGGCATCAATACATTATTAGAAGTTCTAATCGATGCTAAAAAAAAACAATTTTTGTTTTGTTTTCGTCGAAGTCCAGGTTGGAGAACCTTCCCATCACTTCCTGTCTGATGTAGGCTCTAACCCTTCCCTGTCCTAGCTACAACAAAATAAAAGTTCTCACTGGAATTGAGATGTTATGTAAAAAAAGAAAGAAAATACTGCTTTAACTGAAAGCAGTATAAGGCAGGTACGTGCTGTGGCTGCTGGGAAGCTTCAGAACTGTCTAAATCTTGCTTGCAACATCTTATGCGACCAATACAGTTTGTGGCAACATGCCAGGTAAATTTTTCTGTAATTGTCATCCAGCAGCGGCAAAAAAAAGACACTCTAGGTTATCTTTTTAAACCTTTATAAATACCAAAAAAATCCTTTGAGAACTTTTGAAACAAGTATGCCATAAAAAATTCAGAGTCTTACTTCAGTTAGTGAAGCCAGAATAAGCTTTGCATTCTATGGCCTGACCCTTTAAACATCGACGGTAGCGCTTATTTTTCAGTCTGCACACCGTATTTGGGTTACAGTTTGATATTGGAAATAGATGCATTTTACTTCCCTTTGGAAAGGGCAGCACAAAAAAACAGGCTGCATTTAGATAATCAAAACTGTATCAATGACAATACCCAAATGCATGGTACTACTTCCAAACAAACACCACCAAAAGGTGTATGAGTGTGTATGTATATTATTGTAATTTGCTTGAAGAACTGTCTGCCCTTTTGCCGACCTTTCTCCACGCTTTGAGTGGTACTACGGCTCAGCCGAGCCAAAGCATATGGGTTCGGCTCGGCTGAAAAGCTCAGCTGTCTTTGGTTGCTGTACGAGCTATTGTGAATAGCCCGTACAGTAGCCCTTCGGTTCGACTAAAACGAAGGGCTCCGGCAGCCGAAGTGAGCCGAAGGGTCAGCCGAAGCTACGGCTGGATCCTTTGGCTCTATAATGAATAACCCTCTATGTCTCAGTTGTGCTCTTCCATTGATCACATTGGGGTTGATTTACTAAAGGCAAATAGGCCGCCTAATTGTTTATATTTTGCCGACATGTCAGATTTGACATTATGCGGCAGGAGTTAGTCACGTGCGGTCGAGTCGGCGTGCCTCATTTTTAATTTTTTAAAATGTATTTACTATTTTTATTTTGCCAAGTCATCGCCGTTGTGGACAACGCAGGAAGTCGTGATTGACGCTGGATTACGTCAGTGGATCAATTTTTGTTTTTTAAAAAAAGACTTGGGAATTTTAGGGGGGGCCCCATGTCTTCCCCTCCCCCCATTTTTGGGGGTGGGGTTCCTCAAAATTCTTACCAGAACTAAAGGGCCTGGTATGAATTTTGGGGGGAACCCCACGCTTTTTTTTATTTATTTTTTAATGGGGTCCCTCCCAATTTTCCTACTAGACCTAAAGGGTCTGGTATGGTTTGGGAGGTTGACCCCATGCTGTTTTAAAAAAAATAATGTTAAAAATAATTGTCTTAACTTTTTTTTTTTTACATTTATTTAAATACATTTTAAACATTTTTTTTTCCATTTGCTTACATTTATTTATATTCTGCTCGCTACCTCGGTGGTAGCTAGCAGAATAGCTGAGCCGAATGCCACTCGGCAGCATTAGGCTATTCACTCACTGCAGTTTGGCCCCTATGAGAATAGGGGCGAAGGGCAGCAAGAGAACTGCTGGAGCTTCGGCTCAGCCAATCCAGATGTTGGATTCGAGAAGTCCTTCTTTAGTTTGGCTCAGCCAAACATGCAGAGCATGTTCGGCTGACCGAAGTCAGCCGTACAGAGCCGATGTACGGCTGAAATCAGCCGTACTGAGCGGGAGTGAATAGCCGATCATTTGGCTTGGTTAATCACTCGGCTGCCTTCAGCAGCTAAGTGAATAACCCCCATAGGTTTCTCTCAAATGCTCTATAACAGGAAGTACCTGAACAAAGGCCTTCATGGCAGGATTAGCAGACATTTTTTTATGGAACACTGCAGACTTCAACACTGCAGACTTCAACATGTTAAATCTTACATGACATTTTTAGAGTTTGGGTTTAGCTCCACTTTAATTAAGAACTCTATGTGTCATCTGTTTGGCTGTGCTGTGCAAAAAAAATGCGTGTAATCACAAGATTGCCAGTATGGAATTACAAAATCCTTCAACAGTCTTAAAACAGAAAATGTGTGTTAGTTGTTTGCCCAGAACGTTACTTTTATGATTCATATAACAAGATGAGTACTTGACAGCATACTGTCAGAAATGGCATGCTCAAAAACTGCACTTGGTTTAGGGAAAAAAAAAAAAAGGAAAATGTATCAAAAAAACCCCCAGTAAAATATCAAGCTGAAACAAAAGAAAAACATAACTGAGTGATGTATCCATCTTTGAAACTGCACACTAAACACTGTTGTGTTTGTAAATTGAATTCTGTGCATTACTGTTAAAATGATTATACTTTGTCCTTTTGTTTTATAACTACAGTACATCAAATCACCAATGACCTAGGTTTTGCATAGCCTCAAGGAAATCTACTGTACATTGAAGAAAAAAAGCTAGTGCTTTGTATATGACTGCCTTGGAAAGATTTCTCTATAAATGTTATTTAATGCACAGCACAGCGGCGTAGTGGTTGCAGCCCGGCCAGGAGTTGGCATGTTCTCCCTGTGCTTGCGCGGGTTTCCTCCCACACTCTAAAAGACATGCTGGAAGGGTAATATATACGTATGCATGTGAGATAGGGACCTTAGAGATTGTAAGCTCCTCGGGGGCAGGGACTGATGTGAATGTGTACTATGTAAAGTGTTGTATAAATTGTCTGCACTATATAAATACCTGTAATAAATAAATGTGGCAAATCCCTCAGCACATCAACATATTTCCTCTAAGACCATGACTTTCCCATAATGCTATTTTAATAGTATTAGAACACTTTTGCAGTATTTAATTTTTTCATTTTTTTGCAAACACAGTCACCCTTTATCATTAAAAGAGGTAAAGTAGTATAAAAATGCACCTAAGCAGCCAAGAAATAAAACTTACAAGACACTGACTTTTACTAGGCAATTATATTCATTTTTTGTACAAATTATATTTCTTACCTCCAAAACAAGCTCCAATGGCTAAGGCAAAGATAAGTGGCTTAATTGGTAGATCAACATCTGCATCTTGGCTTAAGTTTATTAATACCGGAATCTAAAAAAAACAAAAACAAAACACAAATGCATTATTAATCTGAGAAATAATATAACGAGCATGATATCACATTTCTTAGGCAATGTTCAAAAGCATTACCTTTTTAAACATTTAAACTGCATCTTTATTTAGTCTCCTTACATGTTTGCAGTTTTCTAGCCCCAATGCATTTGTTGGCACTACCCAGAAAGCATCAACTCTGTAATCAAATCTCACCATATTTGATTACATGAGCCAAACTTGACTGCTGTAAAAGGGCAGACAGTTTAAACCAGCGGTCTCAAAGTTCCGGCCCACGAGCCGTTGCTATGTGGCCCGCAGCCAGCTGACAAGTCAGGCACACGGTCACGGACTACGTGCCCAACTTGCGGGAGCAGCTACATGGCCTGCTAGTCCCCTATATTTCAGGTGCGATTAGGGATTCCTGTGTCACAAACTTGCGTTTTCCTGCAGCAGGAATCCCTAATCTGGCGTTTACATGCAGCAACTGTCACCCATTCAAGTTAATGATCAGGTGACAGCCGTTGCATGTACATGCCTGCATACCACATGTAATCGTATATGATATGATTACATGCAGTTACAAAAACAATCCCTATCCCTGGATACACAACTGTGTATCCAGGGATAGTGATTGATTACTAACTGCATGCAATCCTTTCACATATGATTACATGCGGCGTGCACATGCAGCAGCTGTCACCCGATCATTAATTTGAATCGGTGACAGTTTCCGCTTATAACATGTGCATACATAAAAACTGGTACACTATATAGTAGCGGCCCGCTCGGGACTAAAAAATTTGTCCAGTGGCCCCCGACTAAATTGAGTTTAGTTTGGTTCGTGACTGTGTGCCCGACTTGTCAGCTGGCTGCGGGCCACATAGTACCGGCTCGCGGGTGTGAAAGCAGTATTGTGCAGCAAAATGTTTTAACAATGTACAGGCACAATTTTAGGCACCTTTAGAAACAAGCCAAGTGACAATGAAGAATTCATATTTAATACCAAAAAATACACAGCATTAATGAAGGGTAGAATTAATAATACTGATATAAGCCGATATAAATGCAGATGTACAAGAACAATTATTAAAAAAAAAAAACATTTATTGGTATTCATCCAATTTGCAGAACACTAAATTCAGTAAGACTGAATCATCTATGCTGTCCTAGACAAAATATGTGCATACATGCCATCTTGTTTGGAGCATTTCTATTGTCCAAGGCATGCATGTGCCAAATATCCAGGTTTGTTGGATATGACCATCAAAATTTTGAAAAGACTGGACTGCCCCTCCCAGGTTGGATTGGCTAGCCCATCTACAGTATGTGTGTGTCGTAGGATCAGACTAGGCATGCTGTCTCCGAATTAAAAAAATGAACTTTCCTTTAGGCTACTGAACATTAGGATGTAAAACAAAAATGCACAGACTTTGTTAAGGGGAAAAATAGCCAAAGAAAACTTGTTGACCACACAAATATTTTCAGCATTTAATTTTAGATATCTCTCCATGAATAGTTATGTAAAATGGCGTAAAGCATTGAAAAGCAAGTAGCAAGATAGCTTTCACAAAAATGTTAACATAAGCTAATTAAGGCTGCTAACGTATCCATCGCATAAATAGCAAAGGAGCGATTTCCTAGAAAAAAAAAATTATATACCTTTATCAAAAGATATATACACAAAATGATAATTACTAGCTATATTTTTTATCAGTCTGCCTACTTTTTAGCATTTTTACACTGCCTTGCACTATTCATGCATACACACAGGGCCGCCGTCAGGGGGGTACGGCCAGTACCATTGTAAGGGGCCCCGGCGGCTGGGGGGGGGGAGGTCGAGCTCCAAGCTATAATTTTTCCCTATAGAATTATAAGAATAGTACCATTTGCCTGGTGCTGGGCCCCCCCCCCCTGCGCTGTTGGTACCTTCCTACGAAGTGCTTACAGGGGGGCGGAGCTAACATTCCTTGGGCAGAAGCACCGGAGATCGTGGCTGAAGAGGTTGAAGAGGAACATGTCTGCTGCCGTCTGCCTGTAGGGGAAAGGTAAGTGTTTCCCAGCAGACAGAGGCCCCAGGAATGGTGAGGGTTGTGATATAGACGGGGAGGAAAGAGACCGATGATGAGAGCTTCTTAGCATCGGTCGGTGTGTCTCTCTCATGCTTCTCTCCCTCCTCCCAGCATGGTCGGTCTGTGTCTCACTCTTTCCCCCCTCCCCTCAGAGAATTGCTGACTTTCAAGCTGATGAGGTCGTGCTGTGTTGGCTGTCAGCTCTGCAATGTCCCATCTTCAGATCTCCTCATATAAGTCCTCTTAACTGCTGTGTGTCCTGTATACAGGATCGTTTGTTATGTGTCTATGATCTGCCCCCTGCTCCCGAGCTGGGGAAGGGGGGAGGGCAGTGGAAGGGGGGAGGGGAGTGGAAGGGGGAGGGGAGGAGAGAGATAGTGTGTGTGTCTCAACACCTTCAGCACACCACAGTGCCTCAATATGATAGAGCAGGATGGGAGGGGGAGGGGTTGTCAGGTCATTCTACACACTGTGCCTACTTCATATGCTCTATACTCTGCACTGTCATTTCTCAGTCATATGTACAGCACTATACAGAAAACTCACATAGCATTCCTATAAGGCCTCATTCACACTGTGTTAACTTGGGGCGTACGTTCATGCCCGCATCGGGCCGTTCCTGGGAGGGACAGGTGCTGTGTGTAGCAGCCTGTTGTTTTCTATGGGAGGAAGTGGCCATACGCTGTCATGCGCACAGCCAAACTGCACATTAATGCAGGTCTGGGTGTCCGGGATCCATCCCATCTGCGTCTGAGCACGGGTGTGCATATGACAGCGTCCGGCCGCATCCTCCCACAGCGAACAACAGGCTGCTACGTGCAATCACACGCAGCACCTGTCCCGGGAACAACCGATGCGGCCGTGCACACCTTACTGATGTGGATGACCCAACCTAATGCAGTGTGATTAAATGCTATCCAAATGCTATCACACAGGGGCTCCTGTGTAATATCAGTGAAGTCAAGTGAAAAAAAAAGTCAAAAAATAAATAATTAAAAATGTAAATACATCAAAATGTAAAAAATAAAAAGGAGATAAGTAAAAAAACAAAGTCAAAAAATAATACAAATTTAAACCAAACCCCTGCCCCCACCATCTGCATTCGAATAAACACATGCACGGGGCATTGTGTGTGAGCGCAGTGGGCGACCCGTGACCATGCGGCAATGGGGGGCCCAGGCCTAAAGCTGTGTAAGGGGACCCAAAATTTCTGATGGCTGCCCTGCATACACAAACATACACAAAGTGACATTAGAGGGGGGAAAAAAATGTTATAGTCTGCAAAAAAAAAAGCGAGAAGTCCCCCCACCCCCCTACCAATTCCTACCAGACTCTTTAGGTCTGGTAGGAATGTTAGGAGTGACCCCCCACCGAAGTTACAACTAAAGAAAAAGTGCAGGGGGACATCCATTATACCACCACAACCACAATAAAAAATATGAAATGTTCACACTAAAACACTACAGTATGTACACATTGAATAGCCCCAGGAGAAGAACTACCACTTATTCAACCACAGGAAAATGAAATCATGTTCAGCTTATTATCAAACGTGTAGAAAGTATGGTCTCCATCTATGTTAGAATATGGATCAAGTAGCATTCTGACAGTCCTTGTTAGGCACTTATATTCTATGAACAGAACAACAGTGCATTGTAGCAAGACCACTTGGTAATGCAGGTGTGGTCTGGACTTTCTGTGGTGCTTTAGCGTGACAGCGTTTTCATATTTTTTAGTGTGGTGGTGGTTTATTTATGTGGTGGTGGCTTATTTATTATGTCTATTTAAGTAGTCTATTACATTTTGATAGAATAAAGCAAGATAAGATGTTTTAAATACTGCATACTGGCTATGTGTAACTGTCTTTGCCTGTATTTACATATATTAATGTTTGTGAGAGTTATATGTGGTGCAGTATCCCACTTTTGGATAAGTCAGTTTGACCTGATAAAGTAGGTGAGTCCCCCTGTCATTTTTATTACAGTCAAAAGTGCTAACTATTAAGCTACACTTCCGTGTGTGTGTGCGGAATTAAAGAACTATAAGGCCTTGTTCACACCAAATGCAGACCAGATCCGGTCAGGTTTCTGCACACGCAGTGCAGTGGGTTGTGCTGCGTTTTAGACGCGTTTTGGATGCGTTTTGGGCCGGTTTTGGTTAAAAAAAATAAAATTAAGTTTAACATGGGCTTTCAGGCACTTGCATGCGTTTTTGATGCGTTTTTGATGCGTTCCAGACCAGATCCAGGGCTTGCCGCAGTTTTTTCATCCGGTCTGGATCCGCACGCTGCAATGTGAACTGGAGGTCAAAATACCATAGGAATACATTGGACGCAGTTTTGATCCGGTCTGCACCTGCTCTGGTCCGGATCTGCTCCGCGCTTGGTGTGAACAAGGCCTAAGTCAGTTGCAGCATGTTGTAGTTTTTCAATCTGTACTTGCTTGGCTCTTGGCAACATCTACAGTAACAGCCTTTTATTCTTGGGGGGAAAAAAAAAAAAGAGATCCTTTTCTATTTGGACTTACCATTGCAGCAGTGAATGGGATGTTGTCAATCAAGGATGAAGCTAGAGCTGAAACCCACACTACCAAAATAATGGCAATTGCAAGTCGTTCATCTTCAGGCACACCCTATCATTGAAAGATTTATTAACAAAATATTAAAGATCATCCTTTCGATTCAAGTATGACAACTAGAATGATTCTGAAAACATATGAAGTCATTGACGTCATTTTGAGATAAAAACCAGCACAATTACAAACTATTAATACAATGTTAAATTGCATAAATAATGTAGGTCAGAATGCAACAATTTTAAAAGCAAAAAGTTTGACGTGTCATCATTTTTACAAATTAATTCTCCCATAAACACATCTACAGCATTTTAGCCATTCATTTGAGTAATAGGATTTGACAGAACAGTTAAATATTATGAATGTGCTTGAGGGCTCAAAAAACTTACATACAATACTGGGTTTCAGTATTCCGTTACATTCAGACAAACTGCAGTTACAAGGACGATTATTATTAACAAGGCAGTAAGCCTTGCACAGGCTTTAGCATAAATATACATATAGGTATGCTGAGAAATTTTCATATATTGAGATTCTCGGTCTTGATTTGGAGTAGATTTGTCATAGTATGAAAGTTTACCCTACAGCTTTTTGTTGCGAGTCATTTTACAGAGGAATAAACGCGATCGTTCAGTGGGGTTTCTAGACCTGCTGTACATATTTAAACGCAAGAACAAAAAATGTCATGTATACCAATTCTCCTGTTTCTAGATGCATTCTGTTAGGCTTTTTTACATTATTTTACCTGGGTTAGTATATATTTAGTATATTATACATGTAATATATTGTAGCTTACCAGTTATAGGATGCATTTGTTTTCTTTATTTTAGTCTTGCAAGCCCTAATGTGGCAAATTTTTTGGGAGAAAAGCCAGGAGAGTGAGCGAGAGGGGAGGGACAGCCGGGAGAGTGAGCGAGAGGGGAGGGACAGCCGGGAGAGTGAGCAAGAGGGGAAGGACAGCCGGGAGAGTGAGCAAGAGGGGAGGGACAGCCGGGAGAGTGAGCGAGAGGGGAGGGACAGCCGGGAGAGTGAGCGAGAGGGGAGGGACAGCCGGGAGAGTGAGCGAGAGGGGAGGGACAGCCGGGAGAGTGAGCAAGAGGGGAGGGACAGCCGGGGGGGGGGGCGCGAGG